AAGACATACCCAGTGAACAGGAGAAAAATCATCAGAAGCTAAATGTGCTTGGATCATGGGCTAAAGGCTTGGCTAGCATAAAACACAACAAATCCATTGAACTGTTCTAGTGGGTGTTTACTTATTTGATGGACCATGACATTTTTCCTTTTTATTTGGTCCCAAATATGCATGCACCTCTTTCCATCGCAGTGGTTCAAAATCCCAGTTTGCCAAAAACAGGGGCTTGAATCTCTATGGTCTATCCTTCTTATGGGTGGGAATCGAAATAAATCCCTAATAGTGCCATCCCCTTTTGGGTGCATGAGGAAAGTCAACATATTTTGGCTATTGCAAAAATTTTATTAGTGAATTATCGACTACGAAGATCAGTCCTTTGCAAGTCACGAGATAAAAGGGATAAAATGCAGGTACACAAGTGAAACCCCAAAACCCAGTTTACAAAAGCCTGTAACTCCTGCATAAGTTTTACATGAGTAGAACTTTTGCAAAAATTTTAAACTATAAATTCATACAAAATAATTAAAAAAATTTAAAATTTGATAAAAATTATTAAATTCAGAAAGTTTTCACACTATAAAACTAGAAGTAAGAGGTTTATAATTTCGATCTCTTAACTTTTCAAAAGTCGTAAATAATTTTTAAAAAAGTCAAACACTTCTCAAAACTATATTTGATTTAATTTTTATACTCAAATTATAGATATTTTTATAAACTGGACTTATAAACATGCAAGCAATGATACAACTCTTCCAATGATCAGTTTGCTTTGTAGACGAAAAAAAAAAAAAAAGAGACAGATCCATCAAGTCTTTAGACCCCTTTTAGTAGACAGCCCGCCGAGGCCCACAAAAAATTGGGCCAAGCCTGAAATTTCTTTTCAATTTGCTACAGTTCTCCAATCAGAGAGTTTTCATGGGATAGTGGCTTACGGAGGGGAGAGCCGAGACTCGAGAGGGAAGTCAATGCAAGATTTGCGTAGATGACCAAAACACACCGAGATTAGATTTTTATAAAGAAATTGAATGGACAGAATAATTAAAGTGGAAATATGACGGAAACTTCCCACCATTGCCCATCGAAAGGCGCAAGCATTATTACACACACTGACACACAGATAAAGTTAAGGTCACTTTTGCTCCACCGAAAGGTAGTGCAGAAAGAAACAATTAAAGTGGAACAGCTGTCTTGCATTCCGCAAGTCTGCTAGCCACCAGCGGAGACAAGGGAAGGCCCCCCCTAAGAAAAAAAAAAAAGCCCCATGGAGGAGGACTAAGCGGATGAGGTAAACGAGGAGAATAATTGAAAAGAGTAAATGCTACAATGCTGGTGAGATTTCAAGTTAATATCACGGAAACATCCTGGAAGGTTGGAGGAAAATGAGGTGTCCTTGAAATTTTAAGTGTATTAAATTTTGATTTTTTCCA